CACTTAGCTGAAACTAGTACTTGTTGTTTACTGCAGAGAAGCAAGCAATGTCTGAAATTTTCAGATGTATAAACGTCGTAGATCCTGAGTTGTGTGCTCTTGAAATTGCGAAGTGTGATGGAAAAATGGACTCTACAAGGAAACACCTTAACATTAATAATCATGCCATGGTCAACAACCATAAACAGTGCCGTACCGTTTTTGGAAACACGGCCTCATATGTTTAATTCCTCAAGCACAACATTTCATGAAATATCAAGCGTCTAATCCCTAAAGAATAATCGACTAATATTATAAATTGAATGGAGCTTTCGATGAATTTATAGACAGCATAACATGTATAAATCATTTGTTACCAATAATGGGAAGGCATTGTATTCTTATATTTTTGAAAATCGTGCAGCCTGTATGTACGCTATTATTTTTATATATTTGTGTAAATTACGTTTTCATTGAGTTTCTGGAAGTTTAAAAAAATATATAAACGTTAACTATATTGCTCTAAGAATTGAATTAATTTAGCCTAATCCGAACCTATCGAACCGTCTCAAAAGTCCCTACACGGTAAGATCAGATAACCCAAATGTAGGTTTACTTTACTCAAATCAGGCGTAAACTACACAAACTCAGATATGGGTGAATTTTTCAACCCAAATATGGGTAAATTTAAGTCAAATTTGCATAAAAATAAATCATTTATGGATCATAAGAACCCATATTTGGGTTAAAAAAAATTACCCATATGTGAGTTTGTGCAATTTACGGCCAATCTCGGTAATCTCTTTGTACCGTCTGGGTAAACTGATCTTAGCGTATACACAGAAATTCCAAGAAAGCACGAAAACGGTTTCAACATTATTTTCAATATAACAATCAGGTTGCTATGTGTATATAAGATATTGAGCAACGTGAGTTACTCAGAGTTACTCAGAATTAACTCCGGTTTTACTCATGATCGAAAGCTGTCTTGCCCCCAGATGTATACCTTAATTTGTTCAAACAAAAAAGTTAGATTTTTTATTTTAATGATAGTAGGAACCACCCTAGAATTCATTGTCAAAATAATGAGGGCCTAATTATAAGGAACAACTTTGTAGAAGAGACTTTTAGTCTAAAGTTTCAATTTCAGGTTCAAAACATATCATTCCACCTAAATCTGCATTCTGGACCACTGTGAACTGTATAACTACTTACAGTGTGGCGCCACCTGCCTATCCAGCTTTCCATGCTCGGTAATGGCGGCCTGTTTGTATGAATAAATGTATCCTTCATTGTGCTTTTTGACACTAACTGGAGGGCGTATGTTGTTCCATTTTCTTCTGTTCCTGCGAGAGGGAAAGGGAGGGGTCAAAATCAAAACATACAGATAGTGTCAAAAAGCACAGTGAAGGATACATTTATTCATACAAACAGGCCGCCATTACCGAGCATGGAAAGCTGGATAGAGATTGCTAAAGTATGATTGTGTCAGTGATTTGTTTTCATCGGGAAAATTTTCCGCTATGAAGTTTTTTTTCCCGATGAAAACATTTTGCGTATACGTATACGTGACGTGGTGTGCGTACGATAAACGTCAGCAATCTCTATTGGAAGATTGCTGCAAAAGCTCAACGCAGATGTCGCCACTGCATGATGATGACAATGTTGACAGACTGCATATAAAATTCGTGAAAAATAGCATTAAATCATAATTTTCATCAAGCCTGCGTAAAATCCTACCAATATAACATTCGAATTGAAGAAGAAAACGTTTTTACGATCAGACTGATGTGCATCTTTGATTTTTCCAGATGAACTTTCATAAGATATATTCATTTCATTTCACGGCTCCATCAATGCCTCGATCAATGCTGCATCGTACATATGATGTAAACAGAAGTAAATTGCTCAATTACTCAAAATAAAGATGATTTGTCATCTTGTTATCACTTTATAAACCATCGAGCACCATTTTATAGTATTGAGTAAATCAAGTTCTGTTGCGTTTTCCGTCGAAAATGGTGAGTATCAATATGTTTACCTAAAAAAGGCCAAAATGAACATTTATTGAATATTGGCGTTCTATACAACCATTTCTCCATTATCACCAGCATGATACAATCTTTCCTAAGTAAATTAACTTAATTTCCTCTTTCATCCTAGTGGAAATCGCACATATTCACCATTTTCCGAAAAATGCAGCTGCGCAGGAGGTAACTGTGCAACTTACCTTGTGAAGAGCTGGTCCGAAAGTGAGTGGAGAGTTGCCCGTGTGTGTTTATGAAGCGTTGCCATAGATACCTCTGTTTACCAGCATTGAACTGCTGCGCTAACAACGGAGGGCTGCACACATGACTTGCTGACTCGTTAAGCGTCAAGTTAAGACCTGCTTACACTAGCGCTAATATATGCCACACATGTCCCTCTCTCCTCATAAAAAATAAAGAATTTTACCCGGTTTTCCTTTTCAGCCGTGAATGCACCATTGCTCTGACATCATTATCATCATCATGAAGATCAATGGGAGCACTGTTAGGGAGCTTAGGAATCTCGTTCAAAAATCGAAATGGATGATTTTTCAATTAATCTCATAGTTGCTCGGAGAAAAACTGACCCGATTGGATTCTGGGACTTCTGGGGCGCAATGTGGGATGTTTGCCGTATAGCAAAATGTTGGTAGACTGTGTACTAGTGAACTGAAGCCGTTGTGTCACGAAAATGAAAAGTGGACGCAGGCCTTGTTTTCTCTGCTGAGATCCCTCTAGTTGGAGCAGCTAGAGTGTGTTTCGTGGTTGATGGGGGTTTACGCTGCTGTGAGGAACGAAAGGCGAGAGTGCTGTTTTTAACACCTGTTGAAGATATAGTGGCAGCATTTCTATGGAGCTCTTAGAAATCTTCGTGATTAACGTGATATCATGGATTTCTTGGTAACATACCGGATGATATAATTCCTTTATTTTTTCTTAACTTTCATTCCATTATTATATTAAACATTAAATGTTGTGGACAGGACGGACCACCAGGGCACCCGAATGACGCGAAATGGATGGGGAGAGTCGAAATGCCAACTCCCTGTCGTTTACATTTCGTGAAAAGAAGGTGGGCTCTTCTCCCCCACTCATTGGGACATCCTCCTGTTGGATGGCCTGTGTTTTGACCGGTTGTATGATCCTGTTGTTGGAAGGAGATTCTCATTTATTCCATGGATGCAAGTGGGCGATATTGCGCACGGATTCACCCAAACCGTTTTTGGCCCTTCATACAATGGCAGGTTGAATACAATTAGAAGCTTCGGCATTCTTCAGCTGCTAGATGGACGAAGGCAGTGCAAAGCGGCTGCTTTTCAACTTCGTCAGCTGACCAGCTTCACGGTGGATCTTCTGCGAGGACACCGGTGTGGAGAACATTGAGTTGGCCAGATGGTCGTTCACCAGCATTTTGTCGTTGGATAGCGAACGGACCTTCAAGGCACTCTTGATGGGGGAGGTTGCCTTCCGTTTTTTTTTTTTTTTTTTTGAGTGCTGCTGTCCATGACGTCGATTTCCTGTGTCAAACGGTCCTGTTGGTGCATCCGTACTGATATGCATTAGATAATGCTGGTAAAATGTAAAGTTTACGTTATTTTTTTGTTTTGTAATAGGGTTCGTGGCGTCATTTTCAAGCAATTGAGGCCAATTGATTTTTGTTTTTTTGCAAAACCGTCGCTTTGAAACGATTAAGGCTTTTTTTTATTTTATGACATCGTTTTGAAACGATTGAGGCAGATTTAGCAGTTTATTTATTTTAGTTTTTTTCGCGGTGGCATCGTTTTGAAACGATTTGAGCAGATTTCGTGTTTTCTGTAATGGCGTCGTTTTGAAACGATTGAGGCATATTTAGCATTTTTTTAGGCATTGGCATCGTTTTGAAACGATTTAGGCAGATTTTGCGTTTTCTGTAATGGCGTCGTTTTAAAACGATTAAGGCAGGCTTGGTAGTTTTTTTTTTCGCAATGGCGTCGTCTTAAGACGAATAAGGCAGATTTGGCGTCGTTTATAAACGAATCAACCGGATCTAGCAGTTTCCATTATTTTTTTTTTTTGCGGTGCGTGAAGGCTACGCACGGTTATTCTAAACCGATTGATATTAGCGTGGCCTCTTTATGATAGAAAACCAAATGAGCTTATGGAAGATTCCATATGGCTTAGTTAAATCTGGCAGGATCGCCAATGTGCAACTTACCTTGTGAAGAGCTGGTCCGAAAGTGAGTGGAGAGTTGCCCGTGTGTGTTTATGAAGCGTTGCCATAGATACCTCTGTTTACCAGCATTGAACTGCTGCGCTTACAACGGAGGGCTGCACACATGACTTGCTGACTCGTTAAGCGTCAAGTTAAGACCTGCTTACACTAGCGCTAATATATGCCACACAGTAACCTCCCCTAATAAAAATTGTATGGTTAATTTGCTTAACGACGTGTTCTGGGTATCATCCAAACCATTTGTGGAATAGTTCAATGATTTGGGTTATCGTTCGTTTATGGTTATTTTTTATTAGGGTCTACCTGTGGGTGCAAACTTGTTACACAGTCTATTGGTACTACTCCGAGACTGAATAAAATTTTCGTCAATTTCCTCATTTTCCAGCAGATTTTGTAGGTTTTCCACAGAAAAACCATGAGACAAATTTACTCATCGCTGAGTTCCTGCACTTTTGGCGATTATGAGTGAACTTAACTCAAATTTAGGTCGTTCTCATTCGCCGTGAACGTTTTTCCAAAAACACAACTTTTTTTCAGAAAAGGTCCATATTTCGTTAAAATTATCATGCTCCGGTTTTCTGCATGCATAATAAATAGCCAAAATAACCTGAATGACCCAAAAGTTACATTTTATTCAGCATGACACGAAATATAACTCACATCACGAACGCCACGGTACCAAACTGACATTTCTTGCAACTGAAATAACATTAACAACATCAACATCAGCAACGCATCGTAAAGTCAGATTGGCTTTTCTACAGCTCTCTTTCAGTCAAACATCGTGTTGAATAATGATGATTATTTGAGAAGAAATTAAATTTCCCTCAAAGGTTGTTAATTTTTCGTGAAGTTAAGAACTTTACCCAGGGCGTCAAAGATGCCGAAGAAGAAGACTGGCCAGCGTAAAAAGGCTGAGAAGCAGAAGCTTCGCCAGAAGGAGATTCGCAACCGCGAATCCCAGCTGCCGGAGCAGCCTTGCAATTTGCCCATGGATTGCGAGAAATGTGGCAGGTTAGTGCTCAGCGGATTGTTTGTTGGAATAATATTCTCCTAAATTGATCCTTTCTTTTTCTTCGGATAAAGAAAACAGAAGTCCCGTGCCTTCTGCTACTTTTGCCAAAGCGTCCAACGCTTGCCTATCTGTGCTCAGTGCGGTAAGCAAAAGTGCATGCTCAAGACCGGAGATTGTGTCATCAGACATCCGGGAGTGTACACCACCGGCTTGCAGATGGTGGGAGCCATTTGCGACTATTGCGAGGCTTGGATCTGCCACGGGCGAAAGTGCCTTCAATCGCATGCCTGCACCTGTCCGCTGATGGATGCCGTCTGTATCGAATGTGAACGTGGCGTTTGGGATCACGGCGGCCGTATGTACAAGTGCTGCTTTTGCGATAACTTTCTGTGCGAGGACGATCAGTTCGAACACCAAGCCTCTTGTCAGGTGTTGGAATCCGAGTCGTACAAGTGTCAGTCCTGCAATAAGCTCGGACAGTATTCGTGTCTGCGTTGCAAGACCTGCTACTGCGAGGACCATATTCGTAGGAAGGGCTTCAAGTACGACAAGAACAAAGCGATTCCTTGTCCGAAGTGTAACTACGATACGAGCCAGACGAAGGATCTGAGCATGTCGGGTAAGGGATCATTTCTGTTTAAATGGCATTATTTCTTCTTTTTCAATCGTACATTTTTTTGTTCTAGTTCGTAGCCACAAGTATGGTCGCAAACGCCAAGATGATATGGACGAAGACGACGACTACGTCTACGATCCGGAATACACCGCGTATCGGTCCGCTGCCGGTCATTACAATGATTCGGATTCCGACGATTACGAAGAGGGATCCGACTCGGATGACGATGACGACGACGATGATTCCGATGAGGAGGAAGATGAGGAAGACGATGATAAAGCTAAAGCTGGTACGAGCAGTGCAAAGGAAAACAAGTGAAAGCCATATTGCCAGCCCAGGGAATGTTCTTTCCAAATGCTCACATCATTCTCTAGAAGGAGCGAGCACCTCCATGCTTGTTGAATTTATCTGTATTGTATATCAAATCAGTGGGGATGTATTCAATAAAGAACGAAGAAATATCCTGTAGCCATAGTGAGTTCAAGTATGTGCTTAGTTGCCTTGAAGCATCGAAAACTTAAAAGAAAAGACCCCGCATTCTTCTGCCCATTCCTTGACGATCGTAGAGAAGATTAAACTTGTTCACCAGCTGGTTCATATCGTTCGAAACCTTGGTTAATGCACCCAAATAAGTGATGAGACCAACGTCATTCGATTGCTGCGAAATTAAACGGAAACAGTGAGAAGTAAGTTCCACAAATGTAGCAACATATCCTATTTACCGTATAAAACTCCTCCTTGAAAGACGGATTCTGAATCACCGGCAATCGACGGCTCAGTGAGTAAGCTCCACGTAGAATCTCCTGATTTGGTTCGAGTTGGCCACTTTCGATGGCCTTGATGTACGCCAACACAATCTTGATTCGGGAGTGCAGCATTTTGATGGCACTGTGCTGCGCCAGCAGATGTTCCGCCACCGTCGAGTTTTCGTCCGAATCGTTCGATGCCATGCGAGCTACGTGATCGACTCCGATCCGTTCGGCTTCCTCGGTGGCCAGTGTGTAAGTCAAAGGAACAAAGAGCATCACTGTATCGCCCTGGACAATGTCAATTACCGACTCGTATAGAGAGATGGGCAACTGGTTCATGTTCCGGCTAGTCGGATCAAGCAGAAGCATGATTGGGCACTCGTTGATGTGGCAAATCTGCTTGTGAATGTTGATGTGCTTCTCAGACGGCACAGATCCGGTCGTATACCAACCCAAGAAATCCAGATCACTGAAAACTTGCTTATCTGAAAGTTTACTCAAAAACCTATTGTAACATCACTCATCTTTATGATCATTCCCCTACTTACATTGCTCCTCCTTAGTATTGTAGTAATCCATCAGAATGTGTACCTCATCCCCAACCAAATCAAACTTGAGCTCAAACGAGTTCATGACCTCAATGTTCCTTCCCTTTTGCTTGCCAATTAATGCACCGTAAACCTGTGACTTGAAGCCCTTCTGTGCGCGGATCCTGGTCCAGTGATCGGAGATATTCATAATCACGAGCGGATGCAGTGAACACGTTACGGAGGGCACCGTAGCACTTCCGGCCATAACATTTCGTGATTCAGTCGATGGAGACGGTTTCGTTTGCGATCCACTCGGAGTTGCAGCGGTAGCGGCGGCGGCGACGGCAGCAACAGCAACACCGGTAGCGCTAGAGCTGGAACTATCGGCAAGAATGACAGCCAATTGCTCCTCGTTGTCGATGTCCATCTTTTCCTCGTTTTGACGCTGGGTCATGTTGGCGACTTTGTAGGGCACTCCCGTAGGTTACGTGAATATTCAACGAAAGTAAATCGGTTTGTTTTGTTGGAAAAAATCGCTAGATTTTTGGCAAATGCACAAAGGCGAACGTCGCGAGCGAGAGCAAAAGTTTGACGTTTTCGTATTTTGTTTATCGTCTGAAAAGGTTCAGTTCATGTAACCCAACAGTTCAGCGAGAATACACTCGAGAATAATTCATTGTATGGGCCCATCAAATATTACGTATCGCAAGAGGTGGTAGGTGCTGCTCGTTCGAATCATGTCCGTGATACCCTTAAACATAGCGTTGGGAACTGCTGATTCATTTGATGTTCATAATTAGATGTGTGTTTTCTCTTTGTAGGGTTTTTGATCTAATTTCCGTCCTACTAAGCACAACGTGCACTTTACCTCTCTTTTCTAAACGAGTTTAAACTAAAAATGGAATTTTTCTGTCAAAGATGACTTCTAAATTTATTTACCTTTCCATAAGTACCATTGGATTTGATAAAGAGCCACAAATTGTTGAGATATTGTTGAAAATCTAATACTGCTTCTTGATTCTAAATTCGTTCTACGAGTTTCAATTCCGTCCTAACGCATTGAAACGCCATAAGATTTTCTTCGTCCTACGGATAAACGTAGAAAAAGGGGATTCGCAGGGAGCACTTCTTTTGTTTTGAGAACAATGAGCGTAAATATTCATACAATGCGGTCTAACAGGATTTATGTTTTAGCTAATGAACTAACGCATCGGAACAAGCCTACGGTGAAATCATTGATATTATTGATGATTTCTGATCGATAGAACGGAAATGGGCGATTACGACGAAGTAGCGCTCTACCCTATATCTATTTTTAATACATTTTTATGTTGTTTTATCCTTTCAATTCTACTTCTAGGTAGTTTCAATTGGGTTCTTTGATTTTTAAAAAATATATCGGTTTTTATATATCATCTGAAAGAGCATCGTTTTCTGAGCACAGCGATATTTTTTCGAACCCACACACTTTCATCTCGATTTTTAATTTTGATTTTGAATGGTTTTGTAACATCGATCAACTTTATGTGGAATATATCGCGAATTGGTTGCCTGTAAATTCATAATTATCAGTTCGCGATATATTCCACGTAAAGTTGAGCGATAATACAAAACGATTAATGGACCTTACTGACTACCATAACCATAATCATTAATGTTCTCAAACCATAAGTAAAAACGTTCTAATATAGTTCTCTTTCCGAAAATGTATGGAGAAAACAAGAATTTGGAATGGTAATGGTTCTTAACGACCCATTATTTGTAAGGTCCGCTTCCTAAAAACCATAATACATAAGGTTAAAACTTTATCACACAAACGTTCATGTAAGGTTCCAAAACCATTTCAGATAAAGTTTAGGAGGGATTATAAACAATTTATAACCATTATCGGTAAGGTCAAGTGATGGTTTGCGTTTATGCGGGAACCTAATTAGGTTCTGCAGCGTGACGTCACAAATGAACTCAGTGTTAAACGGCTGAACCTTTTTGACAGTTCAGTGGTACTGTTTACAAGCACTTAGGCTCTGAACCATTTGGTGGATTATTTTAACTTTTGGTTAAAATTTGACAGATGGAAAGTTATCGATTAACCCTGCTATCCGAGCATGGTTATTTCTGACAGACAAGAAGTTAAATTTTGACAACTGTGGCTCAAAAACCGGTCGATCGACAGCACGGGGATTTTCGAACATAGAAAATAACTTTCGAAATGTCACTTTTAACCACGAGTTAAATTTAACTCGGCAAATGGTTCACACCCTTAGTCGTTTTTTCGAAAAAAAAAAATTCTAAAATTTCCGAATTTTAACTTGAAAATTGTCGAGGAACAGCGCATTGCAAGGATGTTGCTCGTGAACATTGCAGAAATGTGGTTTACATCTCACTGCAGTCTGAAAAATTATCGAGAAAATCCACCCAAGAAAAAATCGGCTAAGTCCACGTAAACAGTACCACTAAACTGTCATCAGATTGAGGTTAACCCCGACGGTGCAAAACCTAATTTTGATGTCGCGCGACGTGCGAGCAAAGCAAAGCATCGCGCAGTCAATGACGATTATATAAGGTCCGCGCCAACAGGCAGCTTGCTGGTGTTAGAAGCAAGAATATAAGGCTGTCCACGAGACAGCTGCAGATCCCAGTAGAACTGGCAGTTAATTCTCATATGAATTTCTGCTTTGTTTATGTTTATGTGACGTCACTGCCAACAGCTGTTTCGTGTAAAAAGATAAACATTGCAATGAAATTTGAAATCACTAAACATTTGCCCGTTTCACTAACACCATAAGGCCTGTTTGCCTAGCCCTTATATAAAAGACATTGTCGCGCAGTCACTCAAAACCAACCCGGGGGCAACTTGACAAGTCCAGTACATTTCCAGTGTACTCCGAAAATTTGGTGCTGGTGGTTCTGTCAAACTCACAAATTTCAGAAGTGTTATCTGAATAGGGCGAATGCAGATATGTAAATAAAGTAAATAAAATACTGAACATAAAAACAGATAGCCTCATCTGTTTCTTGAAACTTCAAGTTGGTGGGGAACAATGTTAATTAAACGGACGGGTGTAACAAAAGACAATCACTGAAATTTATTCGTTTTAGAAGCTCATTATGAATATCTTTTGTTGAGAGACGCTTATTTTAATTTATTTTATTTATTTCTTCATGTTTGAATGAATATACGAAATGTTAGTGTTCACACAGCAAACCTGCTACTCACCGCGAATAAGAATCAATTTTGTATTTTTTTTCACCCCTCAATAGAAAGATGGGGAAGTAAACTGTTTTTAATGATACGGCTTTTTATTGCAAGTCTTCACCGCACAAGTATGCTCAGAAACTTTATTCTTAAGACTGATAATATTCAAGAGCAAAATATAATAGAATCAACCAATGTGTTTTTATTTCTATTTGATTATATAAGAAAAACAATCTGTTCCAATTTGTTTGGATTTATTTCATTTCACCACGAAAATCATAAATCGCTCTTTTCACATGGCATTCTTGCTTGTTGTTTGACATCCACACATGGTGAAACAAAAAGTTGCCTTCCCATAGAGAAATACCATTGCGGCGGTGAAGGGCAGTCCCTTTGTTTACGTTGTGTGGCGACATCTACTATTTGCAAGTGGGTACGTGAAACTAAGATTATCTGTCACCTTGCCGGGGAGTTGCTCAAAACAGATTTGACACAGCACTTGGCGCCAAATCCAAGGGCTATTTTTGCCTTCTTAAATTTTTACGTAAAATAGTTTTACAAAATTAAAATCCAAAAAATATGACTGAAGACACTGTTTCTGATAATCTCGCGAACTTGAATCTCGGCGAGAAAAAACGCACGGATTACCTGGACTGGAACGAATACTTTATGGCCACTGCCTTCCTGGCGGCCCGACGCAGCAAGGACCCCAACACACAGGTAGGTGCATGCATCGTGAACGAGGAGAACAAAATCGTTGGCGTCGGATACAACGGATTTCCGATCGGATGCAACGACGATGACTTCCCGTGGGGCAAATCGTCCAACGATCCGCTCGATACCAAGTACGTGTACGTTTGCCATGCGGAGATGAATGCAATTCTGAACAAAAACAGCTCGGATGTGAAAAACTGCACCATATACGTGGCGCTGTTTCCCTGTAATGAATGCGCCAAAATCATAATACAGTCAAGAATCAAGGAAGTCATCTACATGTCTGACAAGCACGCCCTTAAGAAATCGACGATAGCATCGAAGAAGATGTTTGATGCCACCGGGATTAAATATTGGCAGTTTGTGCCAAAGAAGAGCAAAATCGTTATTGACTTTTCGGAAATAGATTGGGACAATCTGAATCAACTACCGGCGACTCCTCCATCCAAGAAGAGCAACGGCGTTGTGCGGTGCTTAAATACTGAATAAACGACTTTTATCGTAAACAGTGATAATTTATTGTTTATTAAATCTCTCTGCTATAAATAGTATGTTAATATGTCATTAGGATTTATACAATGAAGAAAAAACTTGTTCGAAAAAAGAAGGTATTAAACCACGGACTGGTGTAAAATAATAAATATACGTGTTATTCTTTCCATCTGAGACATTTCCGTTTTTGATATAAACCAATAAAAAAAACCTGCGTTTGAACATTGAAACAAAACATTGATTCCGAAAATGAGCCGTTTTCTTAGGTAGAGATTTAAAAAGTTTTTTTTTTGATAAACGTCCTCGTTTTAAAACTTACTTTATTCATACATTAGCAATTAAGGAAGATGTGCTCGTTTATTTGTTAGGGTGCCAAAGCTTCTACCAGCTTTCTGTAAAACTTCAGCATGAAAAAAAAACTCTAGAAAAAATAAACTGACTAATCAGTTAGCACTGTTGGTCCTGTCTTTGATATCTTGGTACACATTTCTCGTTGAGCATGCTGAATATAAAAGTGTTAGTCACAAACCCAAACACCAAACTCTAATTTCTTACAAACTATACAAAATAAATCATTACTTGTTCGGTAAAGTCGAAAAACACATACACTCTTTCACGTCATATCCACTTTCTCTGAGGGCACTAAACGCCCTGCTATCTTTTCAATTTAATGGGTTGACCCTGATCCTAAATCTAAATAGAGTACAGTTACAGCGCCTTGCTGTATCTTTCTACTTGTAGAAATTCAACGAGCGCGGTTGGAGGCTCGTCTTCTTCAGACAGTTGTGGGCCTGCTGGGTCATGTAGAGCTGATCGCGCGTTTTACCACAAGCCCATTTTTCCCACTTGGGATCGAGGATCTGGAACGGCACGGAAAGCCATTAGCATGTTTTTAACAAATTAGAACGGAGCGCATCACGTACCTGTTCCGGCTCCACCGGTTTCTCCGGGACATTTTGCGTATTCGACGGTTCCAGCAGTCCACCACCATCCAACAGTAGGTCGGAATCGCTAAGCGTCTCCCGCAGTATACTCGGAGGAGAGAAGATCACACCGGAATCGGATATCAGAGATTTACTCTGTAGGACAGCGGTAAATGAAAAATCCATGAAGAAAATTTTCATCCATAACGTTGTAGTTGATGTTGTTGTTGTTGTTGTTGATGCCACTTACCGGTGTCTCGGCGAAGAAACTCATGTCGGAGTTATCCCAGTTCTGTGTGAACGCACTTTTCTTCGCCCGCGGCGATGGTGCAACGGGTTGCGTGCGCTCCCTGACCGACCGCCTATCACCGTTGGTAACTGTTTTGTCCAGATCGGTTCCGCTACCGGAGTTCTCTTTGGCCTGTTCGCTGCTCATGATTTCCGCAATGTCCTCGCCCAACCGTGCCGGGCTCGGTGGAATATACCTGTGGGAAATAATGATGGTACTCAATGATGAGCATGAAGGGAACCTCACTGGTCTTACACTTCCGAGCGTTTCTTCCCAAATTCAGCCAGAGCGTTCTTGAATGGTGTGGGCGTTCGTGGTTCCAACGCTTTCATATCCTTCAGCGGTGTTTTGATTGGACCTCTGACGTCGTCATCCGCACATTCCCTTTTCAGATTTTGTCCCTCTTTCAGAAGGATCGGTGTACTCAGTAGACTAGTGTCGTTGGTCTGCAAAAAGATCAAAATGTTCAATGTGTCTTCACCACAATTAGCCAAGCTAGTTAATTCAATTAATCGCATAAACAAACAAAACAAACCAAAAACGTACTTTAAAGGCAGTTCTTTTGACCGGCGTGCTAGCCGGAAGCTGATCAAACGAAACATTTAAGCTGGGTGAGTTTAAAAACTGGCTGGGTGAGAAGGGGAGCGGTTTAATGGGAGTGACCGTTGGCGACATGAGATGCCTTTCGCCATGCTGGTGTTCGTCACGAGGCTGTTGCTGATGATGGTGGTGGTGGTGGTGATTGTGTGACTGATTAGTACCGGTACCCGTACTACCCAGTGCCTGGCTGGCAGCAGTCGTCACCTGGAGAAGTTGTTGCTGACGTTGCTGCTGGTGAGCTAACATGAGCTGCTGTTGGAGGTCGTTCTGGAAAAATGTGTCGACGTGTGTTAAATTTTGTAAAAGTGCATCAAAGATCACATTTCATTTTCGAAGTAACTGCTGCAAGATTCTTCATTCGGGTTACGAAATGATACATTAAATACAAACAGCAAAAGCAAACAGAACGAAATCAAAACTTTGCAAACATCTTACCATCTCGTTTTCATCCCTGAATTTCCGCTTCCGTCGCAGAATGCTGGGTGTATTGATCTTGAACTTCCGGTCCTTTGCGTCCCCGTCGTTCCCGCTGAGCAGATCGCTAAAGTCCACATTGGTAGGCGTGTACGGTTGATGGTTATTATTGCTGTTGCTGTTATTACTGCGACTAAGAACGTTGTTGTTGTTGTTGTTGTTGTTGCTTGCAACTACTTTGGCATTGACGAATGTGGCCTTCCCCGTGGAATACAGCGGTGCAATGACAAACTGCTTTTCGCTGGTGGCATTAGGCATTGGCGAAATGAGGAAATCTCCCTGATCCGTTGATACCGCAATCGGACCTCCGTCCTTATCGAGCGAATCCTCGTTAATACTTTCGACCGATGCTTTCTTCCGATTATTGCAAATAATGTTCCGCAGACTGTTCTGCCCACTTTGCGGCGGCTGCTGCGAACTGGACTGGTTCGACTGGTTGGAACCCGATTGGTTCTGCTGGCTCTGACTGCTGGTTTTCGGTTTGCGACGAGTCGCTTCAGGTCCCTCGTATTTCCGACGCATCGTCGAGTTCCAGTGGTTTTTGATGGCATTGTCAGTACGGCCTGGTAGCAGTTTGGCAATCTTTGCCCACTGATTGCCCCACTGCAGGTGTGCCTGGTAGATTATGTTGTCTTCCTCTTCGGTCCAAGCGGTCTTTTTGATGTTCGGATTTAGGTGATTGTGCCACCGCTCGCGACACTGCTTACCGATGCGGCCCCGAAGATGGCGTGCGATAAGGGTCCACTTTTTCGGCCCATACTTGGTGACCAGTTCCACCACTTTGTCGTCTTCCTGTAAGGTGTATGGAGAGGAATGTGCGTAAGTCATGGCTAATCAATGGAAAAGGACGATTTAAGTTAATTAATTAATTTTCTTCATAGATATTTTGTTAATTAACTTAGAAAATCTAGTACAGAAAGGTTTCCTGCAGTGTTACCAAATTAGCCTCTTTAAGGCTATCCCATTTGACGCAAGGATAATTAAGATACACATCGAATCGGGTCGAGCATCGCCTTTACCAAACTCAACATTGATGAGGGGTGTTTCCCCTCGCCACCACTAGCAAAATTGATGACTATGATGGAAATGGATGACTAAAAATTGGAACAGATTGGCCAATTGGTTCCGGTTTTATTCCGGGTTTCCGAGAGGACATCGGGTGGAAAGGGGGACAAACGGTACCAGTCGTCTAGAAGAAGGTGATGCTAGAAATCCACTGCAACAGGCATCTATGGGTAGTGCTGATTAATATTTTAACAAAACCAACCCACAATCTGTGTCTAAAAACTGAGTGTCCACCGGAAGGCCATTAGGTGACCCAGATCAACCTGAATCTTGATTATTATATTCAAAGCGTTTTTATGTTACTTCATACGCGAAGTTAGCGATTTTCAGAGTTGGTTGGAAATGCTAACATGAATGATCTTTAGAAGAGGGTAGGTGGATAGTTCCGTTAGAGTACGGCAGTATGAAAATTGAATAGAAGTTGAAAATGCGCGAAGGGCGAATAATGCGAAAGTATAAACTCATACGCACATCTTTTGCCTAACACGTACGATGTACGCGGAGACTTGAAGTATGTCATACTTCAAGTCTCCGCGTACTCTAGCTAATAAATTATCACACTATAAGCTCCATGTTAGTATTTCCAACCAACTCTTGATTATTATGTATTTTTGATCAAAGTACGCCTTGATTTTTATCTGCCACTATATGGAATGTAGTCGGATTGTGTTTTTTTATATATATACTAGCTGAGTGTACCCGGACGGACGGACGGACGGACGGACGGACGGACGGACGGACGGACGGACGGACGGACGGACGGACGGACGGACGGACGGACGGACGGACGGACGGACGGACGGACGGACGGACGGACGGACGGACGGACGGACGGACGGACGGACGGACGGACGGACGGACGGACGGACGGACGGACGGACAGACAGACAGACAGACAGACAGACAGACAGACAGACAGACAGACAGACAGACAGACAGACAGACAGACAGACAGACAGACAGACAGACAGACAGACAGACAGACAGACAGACAGAATTTTATCAAGATAGTGAGATTCGGATAGATACTGAATCTTGGAAATTTCAATATTCCGATGGTATTGTGAAGAGAATTTATAAGGAATTCTTGAGTGAATATATATCCGATTCTTAGAAAAAATTAAAGGAAAACTATGCAGAAATCTAAGAGAATCAAACTCTGAAGATAGCTCTAAAGAAATTTTGGAGAGGAAAGATATTTTTACGAAAGCTTCAAGAAATTTCAGAAGACAATTTAATAGGAATAATTTTAGGGATTTCTACGGATAGTTCAAACGAAATTCTTAGGCAATTCTTAGGAGAGTTCCAAGAAAATTCCGACAATAGTTCTATGAGAACTTGGAAGAGTGTTCCCAGAATTTCATATATTCGAATATTATGCTGGAGCGTTTGTTTCCGGTTCTAATTTCGGCGATGTATGCGAGAAAATCTGAGAAAAAACCCATACTGAATTCTAAAGGACCTACCCAGAGATTTCTGAGGTACATTTGAAGTGAAAGTTAAGGAAAGTTTGGGAGCGAAGTTGAATCAATTTTGAGGAAAATCTTGAACCATCTCAACAAATGTTTGAAACTCTCCCTAATAAACGGGTACCATACACTAACGATAGTATAGATGATACGACCATACAACATAAAGTTGGAATGATATCCCGAATTGGTGGTTAGGCACTTCTTATGGTTATTGTTTATGCGGGCTGAGACATAAGCAAGGTTGCTGATCCTCACAGCGAAGCACAATTCGTTAGGGTAGAGAACTACTTCGGCCTAATCGCCCATTTTGGGCCTATCGAGCAGAGAACTGCAAATAAATTCTTGATTTCAGAGTTAACAAGTCAATTGTGCGTTTGGTACGATACTTTAGTTTATAAGCTACGGAACGAAGTCAATGAGAATGCGTGATATGAAGGTTTGCACCCATTATTCCCAAACACAAAAGAAGCACTCCGACCGAATCACTTTTTATCTTCATCCGATAGGCCGAAGTGAATTCATTGGCGTTTCAATGCGTTAGGCCGAGTTTAGAATCCGTAGGCCGAGTTTGGCGTCAAGAAGCTGTGTTAGACTTTTGACAATATCACAACGATAAATTTAGAAGCCAGCAGTAATAATAACATTTCGTTTGATGATAAACTGCGCTAGATTAAGAAAGGCTAAGTGCGGGTTGTGCTTAATAGGCCGGAAATGGGGTAATTAACCCTATATATTTCACTCGATGTTGCTGAAGTAGTGCTGCATGAGAGCGACTCTCTTCTCGTGCACGAAAATATATCTCCCAAGTATCTAGACTCACCTCACTGCGTCCTAGCAAGAAGAACGGTCGACTTGTTTCGCGCTCCGTTAATTTGGAAGATTTCTCGCTATTATCTGACGTAAATAATCAGTTTTTTCTCGCTTAGTGATTCCTGGCATAATTCCCGATAAATTTATCAAAAGTGAGTTTTTTTTCTGAGAAGAAAGTGTGTTTTCGGCATCATCGGAAGGAAAATTGTTTTTGCGATTGCCAATTCGCCAACCATTTTGCGCACCATCGGTGCGTGGTCACGCATACCTGTGCACACGGATCATCGTCATCGAGTGTCAGCATCTGCCTCCACATTCAAACCGCTCATCCATCTCGTGTGTTCAGCTGAGTGCCGAGCTTCATACAAGCACACACCAACGAAGACCGCCCGCACACGCGGATCGAAGATCATCAAAGCTGCGCGTCGCTCCGCTGCTGCTGTGTAAACGCTCGGTGGTAGTAGTATAGGATTATCAGATAAGTTTTTGTTCTTGTTTCTTTCTTTCTCCCATCAATTAAATTTTAAGTTTGTGTTTCTGTGTTTGTATTTTTTCTCGTGTATTGTGTCCGAGTAATTTTGATTATCGTTGCAGTGGTAGAGCGTTTTTCGCTCCCACTAGTACGGCAAAATGGACATTTTGTCGGAAGACGAAATGGACGTTTTGTCGGAAGATGACACCACTTTGCCACGCGATAGCAAGAAGGGTCGAAAACGTCTGTCATCCCAGAAATCAGATGATGCCATCCCTGCTTCGTCATCTCAGTCTGGTAATGGACAGGGACAGATAAGCCCCCGATCGCGAGCCTACCCAGAAGACTCGACTGGCCCATGGGTTGTTTACTTTCAGCCCAAAAAGAAACCTTTGAATGTAATGCAAATTACTAATGATCTGACGAAGCGGTTCTCGGCCGTGACCGAAATCTCGAAGGTGAGGTACAATAAACTTCGCGTTGTCGTCTCTAACCTGAAACAAGCTAACGAGATTGCTGCCTCCCAGCTCTTTACACTCGAGTATAGAGTGTACATCCCAGCTCGTAATGTGGAGATCGAAGGTGTGGTCACCGAAGCGAGTCTGACCCCCGAGATCTTGGCGAAGCAAGCGGTTGGCCGTTTCAAGAACCCCTTGCTTCCCACGGTTGAGATACTGGAAGTCCAGAAGCTGAACTCAGTATCTTTCAGCGAGGGTAAAAAGAGCTTTACCCCCACAGACTCGTTTCGAGTGACCTTTTCTGGTTCAGCCCTTCCTCACTACATCGAGTTGGGAAAACTTCGGCTACCTGTGCGTTTGTTTGTTCCTCGGGTCATGAACTGCCAAAACTGCAAACAGTTGGGACATACGGCCTCTCACTGTGGCAGCAAGGCACGCTGTTCCAAATGCGGGGAGAAGCACGAGGATGGCGCCTGCACAGTCACTGCACCAAAATGCGTGTACTGTAAGGGAACCTCATGGTCTCTCATCGTGCCCGGCGTACAAACAACGCGGGGAGAAACTAGAACGCTCTCTTAAGGAGCGTTCCAGGCAGTCTTTTGCAGCAATGCTAAAAACAGCCACACCATCAACCAACGACAAAAATCCCTTTGCTGTTTTGTCTGATGACGAGTCTGACTCTGACTTGGCTGAGGAGGGAGTTTCTTTCAGTTTTCCGGAAGGTTCTGCACGGAAACGAAAACGCATCCGTTCGCGGAAAGTTGCAGATAAGGAACCCCAAATCAGCTTGCCCAAATCAAGGAGTGATGGAAAAAAGGAAGTTTCAACTCCTCCTGGTTTCCGCAGAACTGACTATAACCAGAACTTTCCATCTCTCCCGGGGACATCAAAAACCCCTGATGGCCCATTTTTAAGAACAGAAACCCCTTCTTCATCCGGGTTGTTCTCATTTGATAAAATTGTGGACGATATTCTCAAGTACCTCAATATTTCTGATCCTCTCAAAAGCATTGTTCTGGCAATGCTTCCTTCTGTGAAGACCCTCTTGAAGCAATTGACATTGAAGTGGCCCCTCATTGCAGCAATCATTTCCTTCGATGGATAATTTTCCAAACGAGGTCGGGGATTTGATCACTGTTCTACAGTGGAATTGTCGAAGTCTCATTCCTAAATTAGACTCTTTTAAGTTTTTAGTTCACAATAATGATTGTGATGCATTTGCTCTTTGTGAAACTTGGCTCTCTTCAGATATAGATCTTCCTTTTTATGATTTTAACATTATTCGACTGGATCGTGAGGATTCGCGTGGAGGAGGGGTACTTTTGGGGATCAAAAAGTGCCATTCTTTCTATAGAGTGAATCTTCCACAATTTCCAGGTATTGAAGTTGTTGCATGTCAGGCTATTATTAAAGGTAAGAGCCTTTGTATAGCTTCTGTTTATATTCCTCCTAGAGCCGTTGTTAATCGAAAACAACTTTCAGATATATGTTCAGTACTTCCTGCTCCACGGTTGA